TACACTCTCCTGTAGTGGTTCATTGAACCACAATACCGATAAGTGATTAATAAAAGTCAAAAGACCAAAGAGGTCACTTTAATACCAAAAAAAAAAAAAAAAAACAGAAATAAGAATATATTAAAAATATGCTATAAAGTATATTATTATAGGATTGTAGTTTTTTTGATATAATACAACTAAGTAACAAGATTACTTGATATAGTAATTAACTATTGCAAATATATATAAAATAAAAACATGATAGTTTTTTTTACTATATAGCAGCAGACAAATAGTTTGAGATAATAACAGTATATAGATTAGCTTTTTATTAATAATATACATAGTAACAACCTTGTTTGTAAGAATTATTCTAGAGAGAAAATATTATACTTTATAATTAAAAGACTATTATATCTGTGTTGAAGTATAGAAACCTAGAATTAGCTAAAAAAAAAAAGATATTCTTTATATATTTTTTAACCTAATAAAGATAGTAGAAATTTGAATAATATTTCTTGATACTATATTTGAGATAGTAAAGATTGTACAAAGTTAAATAAATTTTGTATAGAAATAATTTAGACAATGTTTATAGATATTTGTTATTTGTATTTAAAACACTTAGAGCATATATTAAGATATTTGGATTTGTGCTAAGACACTTAGAACACTTAGAATTATGCAGAAACATTTAGAATTATATAGGAATACTTAAGAATTATGTATGGTGTATATAGCCTAGAACTAGTATTATGTAAATTATATATATATATAATTTAAAATTGTTTATAATTAAGAAAAAAATATATATATATTAGAAAAGCTTTTTGTAAATTAATATTATTAGACTAGTATTGTAACTTTACAAAAAGAGTTTTTACTTAAACATACTAGTTCAAAATTTATTTACTGCTAAATTCAAAGCATCTTTATATTAATATCAAAATTTGGTCATTATATTTAACTTAGTAATTTACTAAAATTTGGCTACTTAGTAATTTATTAAAGATATATGCACACTTATGCAAACTTGATTTAACCTACCAACTCTTTTTTTTTTAAGTACCAAGAAACCTTAATCACTTGGGATTACTAATAAAGCTAATAAAAAAAACAAAAAAATTAGATTTTATGTTATGTAAATAATAAATTAAATTTTATATAATCTTAAATACAAATATAGATCTATTATTTTACAGTTGATTAATAAAAAAAAATTCAACATATCAACCAGAATTTTAAACTCCATATGCACTTTACTTTTTTTTTTGCATTTTTTCTGAATTTCATTTTTTTATTTTTATTTCACTTTTTTTTTTACTTTTTTTACTTTTTGAAATTTGTTTATTTTTATTTTAATTTGAATAAATTTAGTTTTTTTTTTATTATTTTTTTATTTTTTATTTTTTTTCTAATTTTGCATTTTTTTTTTATTTTTTTTAGGATAGTCTAACTTGTAGTTGTGTGTTTAAAGGTTGAGGCTTTGGAAACTTTTAGGAACAGAATTATTAAGATAGAGATTTGAGATATAAATAGGGCTTATATATAGGCCCACCTCATGTTAGTTTTTATATTACAAATAAAAATTATGTGATTGCCTCCAGTTGGACAATCCTTATATTAATCTGCAACAATAAATACATATTATTTATTTTATCTAAAACAAATATTAAATTATTAATTCTGAAACCCCTTATTATTGAATTTTAAACAATTAGATATATCAAATAAGATTTTTAAATTTGCATCTCAATTGTAATTTTATTGATTATTATTATAAAGCCAATTACAATTTAATATTATCAAAAATTCTTTGATGTGATTTATATTTTTTTATAGCAAATTCAGCAGCAGAAAGAGTTAATCCTTTTCTATAGACATTCATATATCTTTATGCCTTTTTTGCAAACTTTCTAATTGATAAAATATCTATAGAATCAAGAGCCTTGAATACAATTTTTTTTAATCTTTTAAAAGTATAATTGCAGTGGCTTCTTGCATGTCTTTTTATTGCTCTCTAATAGTATTCGATATAGTTTAGTTCCAGATAAAACTTAGAATAATAAAAAATTTTGTGTCCTCAATTAAAAATAATCTCTTCAAGAATATTTTTTTGTTCAATAAAATTAGGCTGTTTGGCTAATTTTCTCATATTGTAGCATATTTTTTTCTTATTCATTGAGTATTTAATATACTTTCCTCTTAATTTTTTATCTCATATTTCTCTTTTTGTTATTATTTTCATAATTCCTTTTGGTTATTTTCTTTTTTTTTTGTTTTAATGATTTAAAGGAAAACTATTTCTTGAGGTATGTTATCAGAAAATTGACCAGAGTATATTTTAAGTTGTTTACCTCCAAATATAACATTTATTTAGCTTGCTACCAATGCATTTTTAGTATAGGCTCTATGGCTGAAACTGTTGTCAAATTCAAAAACAAGCATTGTATTTGGAAGTGCAATTTTCAAAATATTAATTACCTATTCAAGTTGCTTAGCTAGCAATTGAATATTCCAATAACCTTTATAATTTGCACCAATTTTCAACAGCTTTGTAATATAATGTTTTGGGATTTCAGAATAGGTTGCATGTTACTCTTTAGTTAAATATACTCAACCTAGTGGCTTACACAAAAATTCACTAACATAAATGCACCAACTCTGTCCTTTTGGACATATTTTATATTTATCTATTAATAATTAAAAGTAAAAAATTTAGTTTTAATAAAAAATATATCATAATTTTATTAAACAAAAGTTGGTTTAAAAATAACAAACAACCTTTAGGCCTTCATTCTGTTTTCTCATCATTATTTGTAACTAATGTAGTCTCATTATATGTTATTACACAATGCTGCTTTTTTTTAAGAGGAATATTTTTTTCTACTAGTTTAGTGAGATCTTTGTTATCATATTTAATAAAAACAGGTTCTAATTTCTTCATCATTGGCAATAAAACTGTTTATTTATATTATACTATGTCCTTTTGCTCATGTCTGTCAATATATATATATATCTTTTTTCTATTTTTTACACTTCCATCCTAATTTTCTAAGCCATTCTTATGCTGTTTTCTTACATATTGTTGTTTTTTTTTTAATGTCTAAAAACAAGAATACCTTATTTTCTACATATTTTTTTAAAACTTTAGGATTCATACTAAACTTATAACTTCTTAGATATAACATTATTTATTCAAAATATGAATTTGTGAGTTGCAAAGAATTAAGACATTATGTACAAAATTATTATAAAAAAAATATATACCTTTATAGAAATTCTCTTATTATCAATAAGGCTTAATACCTTTGTAAATTTATCATAATTATCTTTTATCATTTTATCCAATTTTGTGCCTATGCATCAATACATTATGCTTTATAATCTTCCTACCCTAATAAACTAGCAATTGTTATGCTTGCATTTATTCTATTCTGACCATAATAGTATCTTAATTGTAAATATTGCAATAATGCTTGCAAATAAACCCTTACACCTTTATCTATTTGATTGTTATCCTTTTTTAACATCCTATTTAATTTTGTAATTGCTAGTCTTATTTTTGTTTTCTCATCAATTTCTACTAATACATTTGCTGATTCTATTTTTGTTAACTCCAATTCTACTAATTTTATATCTATTGATTCTATCTTTGTTAACTTCAATTCTGCTGATTCTATATTCATTAATTTCACCTCTGTTAATTCTATTTTTATTAACTTTACTTTTATTGGTTTTATTTCCATTTGTTCAATTTCTATTGATGCTGTTGATGATTTGCAAGTAGATGTCAAAGCAGAGGCAACATTAGAATACATCAAGATAAAGGCAAAGTAGGCAGTAATAAATTAAGTATTTTGTATAGTCTTTTTTAATTCTGCCTTTTTTTATCTTAAACTTCTTTTAGAACCTTCAACATAAGTTGAAGGTCTACCTAAAGGTTTCCAGGCATTCTTATTTTTCTAGCTATTAATAACATAGCAAAGTAATCAGAAGCTTTCTCATCAATCTTCTTATCTGACCAAATATAAGCATGCTTCTTGACTTTAGCAGCTTTAAGTTGCTGCTTTCTTTTGCTTGAGCAGTAATAGTAATAACAATAAAACAATTGAATTAAGTAAAAATCTAATTGTCCTAATTAAGATTTTATGACTGAGATTAATATATGAATTGTTTAATTATTAAATCCAACACTCTTAATTATTATTATTATTGCTTTTTTTTTCTTTATTTATCATTTTTTTTTTATTTTATTTTTTATTTTATTTATCTTTTATTTATTTTTTTTATTTTTTATTTATTTTTTAATCACTTTTATTTTTTTATTTTTTAATTGCTTTTATTTATTTATTTTTTTTTATTTTAATTTTTGTTTTTAAAAAGACTAAAAAGCCAAAATCAATCTGTCTAGTTAATGATATATTTAAAGAAATATAAAGGTTTATTGGTAGGTTAATTTTTTCATCTACTCCTTTACTCTTCAACTTCACAACACAATTTTATTAATCTTTTGAAATTGGATCAAAAATTTTAAGATTGAAAAATTGTTGTATTATCACTACTGCTATATTATTTATTATGAGAGTTGGCATAATTGTATAATTCTTTGCTCATATCACATAGTGTGTGAAAATTTTTTTATTTGTAGTTATAGCAACAACAATTGATTATACATTAGATTGTGACTAATTTTCTGATTAAAGTTAAGTTCAAAAATTTTAGAAAATGCATGCTCATATTTTGTGTTCAATGATTTTCTGTTCAGAAATATTCAGACCTCAATTTAAATTAGCTACTTAGATTATGTAACACTGGTTCTAGCTACATGCATCATAGAAGATACTTAGAATTTTTGTACTATAATATTTAGTATAGTAATTTTGTACTAGGATATATAAAACTTGTATAAAAATACTTGAAATTTGTATAACAATAATAATATTACAATATTATTTAATGTTATATAGCTGTATTACAGTTTCAATAACTAATTAAAAATTCTTTTATTTTTTATAGAATTGGGCTTTATAGCTTAACAGTAAAGTTACTAATCTTCTACAAACTAGATCAACAGTTCAAGTTAGACTAATGTCAAAAATCTTAGAATTTTAACTCTGTAATCTAATAAGAAGTTAAATTAAATGTAAAGTCTTTTAGAAAGTTTAAAGATAAAGTACAAAAATAAATTAGAAATTTCTAAAAAAAGAATAACTTTGCAAAGTAAAGGCACTATATATAACAGTGATATTATAAAAAGTTTGGCTATATAATAGTATTGTACAAGTAAGTTTCTAAAAAACAAAGCAGTATTAATATCTCCATATACAACTTATAAAGTACTTAATTAGAAGAATAATACCAAATAATCAAAACTAGAGTAATAAGCAATATAATGCATACAAAAAAGATTTCTAACAAAGAATTGGTCTAACCAAAATTAGAATATCTTAGGCAGATATCTCAAAAGTATTTAATAAATATTTTTTAAAATAGTTATATATTACAACTTAGATAATAAGCACTATATTCATATGCAATAAATTAAAGTTTTAGTCTTTTTTACAATATCAAGCTAGTAGCATATTCAGTAGTACATCTACAGAAAAGCATACAGGTAGTATATATAATTAAGCTGCAAACTAAACCAACTATGAAAGTATATCTGAAAAAAAGTATATAATAAATTACAAATTGATAATTCAGATCTTGATAATCTAATTATGCTAATAGGTACTAAAAAGTATATATAACTATATATACCAAACTGATAGCAAAAAGAGCAAGAAACTGCTAGAGTTAACTAATTTGAAAAAAGAATAGATTATTATAAATAAAAAACAAATAGACTGCTATTAAATTAAAAAAATAAAAGAAAATTCAGATATAATAAGATAATTTATTATCTTTCTAGTAGTTTAGTAGTGATGATTGAAATATATAATGAAGGCTACAAAAAAGAATATATAGAAAAATATAGATATAATGTTATATTGGATGTCTAAAGCAAATAGTAATTTAGTAACATAAATGTAATGTAACTATATATAATAGTAATATAAAAAACCAAATAAAATATAAGATTTTTTTTTTTTTTTAACTATCCCTGATGCATTACATCATGAAGCATGTGTGATGCTCTAATTTTTTTTATTAACTTTAATGTTTGGAATCTTACAGGTTTATATATTTAGTTATTACATACATCACCAGTGATGTTTTCTAGCCCCATTATACCATATTATTAACAAGTTTATTACTATTGTGATAACCCAAGTCTCTGGCCTCACAGTATAAGACCTCTTACTCAAGTCTGCAGTTTCCTATCAACAATTGTCCTTCCAGGTTCTGTCTCCTTATCTTTATTGCCTTTTATAGTAATTTTCTAATCTGGGATCCTTATGTTATCGATATTTCTTATCAGATTATCTTCTTATCTGAGCATTGTGTAACCCTGTGGTTATGTTACTTGACTTGTTTTTGTTGTAGTACTTTGTTCAAAATTGGAAGTAGGCAATTCCCGTAGATTATTCATTCTTGTAATATTCTTGTCCGGAAGTAGAAGTAAAAAATCCCCTTAAGATTATAACAATCATGGTCCTGGCACAGCTTTTTCCCTCAGTTGGAATTGAACTAACAACCTTGTGAATACAACCTAGAAGTGCTAACCACTGCACTATAAACTTGCAGGTCTTAAAATATAAGTTATAATTTAATATTATAAAAAAAAAAAAAATTCTTTTATCTAATTACTATTTCTTAATATGTAAGCTTTTCCAGACAAATTTGCCTGGAAATTGTTAAAAATATGCTTATAATTTATATTTTTTAAATTTTAAAATATTTAAATAAAATTTTATTTGATAATATTTGAAAATAAGAATTATAATATACAGTATTTAATATTATATTATAAGAAAAAAATTATATATTACTTATAAGCTAAAAATAGACAAATTTAGAAAAAATTTTTAATTAAAAAAATTATTTACAAATTTTTAGTAAACTCTTTAAATATTAATTTTAAGTCTATAATTCTTAATACAATATTTTAGTTTTTTTTTTTTTTTTAATATTAAAGTTTTTGTCTTTGAGAATTGATTATTTTATTCAAGTATTTAGACACAGATGCCTCCAAGGGCTTCTATATATAGGAGGTTACAATTAGCTACACATGCACTTTTGGTGTCTAATTTAATTTGTTCATCTATATATTATTATACAGGTTCTACACTAGGTGCCATACCTGCAAGCCAACTACGAGTCTTGCCTATTTAAACTCTCTGCATATATAATCTGACTTGTAATTATAGAAACATCTTCTGGGCTATATCTATCCAAAGTACTTGATGCTTTTGAACCCTTAGGACTAGTTTATCTTTGACAGAAAACTTACTAGAACCTTTCATGTCCTATATAGCTGATCTAGTTTTATACAACATGCTATAGTTACCTAACACTTGCAGTTACAGTAGTTACTTATTTTTAACTGCTACATTACACTATTTCTATTCTTGTAAAGTTTACTAGAATCCCAGTACCTATTACCACAATGTCTTCTTCATCATCTCTTACTAACTACTACTTAAGACCGACAGAACTTCCTTAACTTTCAATCCAAATAACCTAGTATAATATACTTATATATTCTTTTTTTTAGTGATTTTGATAACCTGGTTAGTTATATGCTTTTTTATATATCTTGATATCTAGTTTATCCACCTATCTCTTTGAGAGATGTTTTATGAACTTTCATCAGTCTGACTGTATTATCAAAAGTATATGCTACCTCTTTACTTAGAAATTTTCAAGTAGGCTTTCAACTCTTTAGTTCTTTAGTTTATTGCACCTGGTAGTCTTATTGTGGGTTTGTACTGAAGTTTTATGCAATACTGGTTATTAATATTTCTCTATGTATATATAACATTACACTTGGTATAGATGCTCTAAACTTCTATTCAAGATAATGCAACTTAAGATTACAAATATACAAATCTAACCAATCGTCAAAAGACAGTTTGTCATAACACAAATTAATTTCTAAATTTCATTATAGGTGGGATTTGAATCTTAGATCAGTCACTTAAAGGATAACAACCTAATCATTACATTAAGATTATCATCCTCAATACAATATTTTAGTTTATATAAAGAATAACAATTTTTATTAGTAACATTTTTGCAATTTACTTATAAAAATTTAAATTTGTACAAAGTGTAAAAAATTTTTTAGCTTTAGAAACATATAAAATTTTAAAAAATCTTGAAAAATTTTTAATAATAAAAATTTTTAAATATAATCTTTAAAATTTTAATACATAAAAAAGTTTATTAATATTTTAAAAAAAAATTTATAATAAAGTTTATAAAATATGTTTTTAAGAATATATTTTATAAGCAAAATATATCTCATATCATTAATAAATTATTATTTTATTTAAAAAATACTAAATACAGTTTAATTTTTCAGGCAAATTTGCCTGAAATACAGTTTAAAGGATATATTATAATATAACTATGCTAATAACTAATAATAATATAATATAAAATACAATAATAAATATATAATAACTACTAATAATATAATATATTACACTATATTAAAATTTTATTTTGTAGCAATACTAGGGTCCAAGTGATATTTCAAAATTATTTTGCTATGCAAATTCTTTGAAATATTTTTCATCTATAATTTTGCTAATGATGATGATCACCAGTAATAAAATGAATTTTCTAAAAAATATCTAAAAAATCAATTTTTTTAATTTTTTTTATCTAAACAAATTGTAAAAATATCTTAATATTTTATTCAAATTATTAAAGTATATGTAATTTTGTCTTTCAAACAAAACATAAATTTTGATTTTTATGTGTAATCACGATATTCAATTATTTAAAAAAACAATATCGATATGACCAATGACCAAAAGGTCATAATTATATAACTAACATTGATCGTTATAAATTTTTAATGGCAGTTAAATCTTGAACGGCGATTTTACACTGGTCAGGAACACGTTTGAACAAGATCTTGGACATGCTATAAAAATAACATATTAACAGTTTATATCACTATAACAACTTGATCTAATTCATTAAGTAAAAATTTTTAGCATCTATTTTCGTATGTCTTTATCGTTATATAATTTTTGAAATTTATGCTATATCGATATAAACTACAGTCGTCCCTCCATATAGTCACCTCCCATATTATCACATATATGTAATTATCTTTACGTGCCAAATTATGATTTAATTTATAAGAAAAACCTCCATTCAAAACATTACTATGTGCCCAACTGTTTGATTGTGACTATATCTGATTTTTCTAATCAACCAATCCGATCCGAGACATTATAAGCAATTTCGGTACATACACAGACAACAAGCATAAACATGGGCCAAAAAAGGACTTGAACACCGGTTGTACAAGATTGATAGATTTGATCTCAGTAATCACCTTTACACTTCGAAGAAACGCCAAATGATACTCGTTCACCTTATTTAGGCATACGACACATCTTTGAGATAGATTTATATTAATATTGACATTAATCTCAAAATTAATTTATCCTATCCTTGACATGTCGCTGAAGACAAAGAATGCTCTTCAAGACAATGATACTAATAAAAAATATTCAAAGTTAACAAAAAGACAGTACATGCTTTCAAGAGTTGCTAAATATTTGGTTGAGCATCAAATTGGTAAAATTTGAAGAAAAATTCCGAGTATAATCTTAACTTTACATAAACTTACCTTATTCCTTGATTTCAATAGAACTACCGACATGCCTCATAGTAGTTATTACTTTAGCTTATACGTTTAATGTTCCAGGTTCAGAAAAATTTTTATTCCTACGTGAGAATCCCAAAACCGGCCTTTATGAAAAGAGCATGGATGATGCGTATTTTGTATTCTTTTGGGTTGTCATATTTACGCTATTACGGGCAGCTACAATGGAATATATACTGATTCCAATAGCTAAAAAGGGACGAATTAAGAAAAAGAAACGGATAACGAGGTTTGCAGAGCAAGGGTGGTCTTTTTTGTATTATTCTGTTTTCTGGACATTTGGCATGGTGAGTAATCGGCTTGAGAGAAACATACACGTTTCTTTCACACCTCGGCCATGACCAACAAACATTTCAATGATGATAAAAGTAGTCACCGGGAAACCATTGGAACATGTAAAAAATAAAGTGGTTATCAAATGTGCAGTATTCTCTTATCTGATCCACAAGAGTTGTAAAATATCACAATTGGCTTATAATTTCTCTTTTCTTTGATTCGATTAGTATGTAATGTATCATTCACCATATTGGTTTGATACGACTTATTTCTGGAAAGGTTACCCCCACAAAGAATTGACATACCTTCTCAAGACGTATTATCTGTTGCAGTTTGCTTTTTGGCTTCAACAATTATTTGTCGTCAATATCGAGAAAAGGCGTAAAGATTTTGCAGAAATGGCCACTCATCATGTGATCACCATTTCGCTTATGTTTTTTTCTTATATTTTTAATTACACTCGAATTGGTAACGCGGTTCTTTGTACAATGGATTTTGCTGATATCCAATTACCGGTAGGTGTATTGACAATTAAAAAGTATTTATGCATTACGATCTGATTATTTATATCTTCATCCAGCTTGCTAAGATGCTTAAATATCTTGGATTCGGTGTGATTTGTGATGTATTGTTTGGAATCTTTATGGTTTCATGGCTTGTGACTCGTCACTATATTTATGGACATATTATATATAGCGCGTGGACTGAACCGCAGCTGTATCTCGAATTCAAATGGGCACCCGAAGAAGAATACTACTTTACAAAAAATGTGCAACGATTTTTCTTGTTTCTTTTTTTAACTCTCCAGGCGATCATCATATTTTGGTTTTATTTGATCTCTAATGTAGCGTATAAAGTTATCAAAGGTGATAGAGCGCATGATAGTCGAAGTAGTGAATCAGAACGGTCGGTATTTTAACTTAGCTTAATTATTTCGTCATGTGAGAAAATTTCAATTTAATTTATTTTTATAATTTTTATGAATTTATAGAGAAGATTGAATTAATTGCAGACATGTTAATAGTAACGTAATTAATCATCTATATTGATATTTAAAACAAACCATGTTTATATAATTTTCACCCTAATATTATTCGGTTTATATTGGTTATCTATTGTAAAATTAATAATGATAAATTGACATATGTGGTTATAATGCATTCAATTAATTAATTTAGCCAAATCTGAGAACTCGATATTATATTAAATTAGTGAATGCAATAAAGAACATATTGTATAATATAATGAAATTGCTTAGATGATGAATAAATTTAAATATCATGAATAACTGATAACATTTAACCTCATGTTTTAAGTTAAAAAGATTGACATGATTTGTTTTTATGTAACATTGTTTTCATTGGCTAATGTTACGCCCTCATCACGAAGTGGAACATTATTCTACAATTATTAAGGTACGAAGTACAAATACGTATACCATTTGGGACATAGCTAGGGGTGGTAAAGTTAGTTTAGGTTCGGTTTTGGTCCCAGAACCTGTAGGTTCCAATTTAAAAACCTGATTCCTAGGTTCTTGTTAGGTTCTAGAACCTGATTCTCTAATCAAATTTATATTTTTTTATAAAAATTTATTATATATTATTTATTAAATAAAGAGTAAATGTACACCTTAACACCAAAAAAAAAAAATAATAATAATAAAGAGTAAATGTACATCTCGCATGAAATACTAATTGTAATTTAATTGATCGTGATACAGTCAGACCTCTATAATTGCACTCTCTATAAATGCAGCCACTATGTAAATTCTCCCTAAATGAACATTTTTAAAAAAATTTCCTATGGTCCCGAGGGGGTGCAATTATAGAGGTCTGACTGTAGTCTGATGTGTATCTTTTATGCAAAGCGAGATATAAAGTGCATCGCATTTCCTAAGATGAAATTAAAATATGCAGTATCGCATCAAGATGACTCCATATTGATGTAAAAAAAGTTATTCATCAAATCGTTTTGCCAATTAATATTGCTTTAAAATCAGCGTTCAAATTCGTGATAGCTTTATTAAACGGTTTAGTTTAACTTTCTCATCGTATTACACTTTGTTTTTTTTTTTTAATCAAGCGCACAAATCATAAAAACTTCAAATACACAACCTATTGGTATGCAATACAGACTTTGTTAACATATTTCTTCTATCATAATATTATCAGCTTACCACCTCCAGGCTTTGCAATTTTTAAGTTTTTATCTAATTGAAAACGATCCCAAGAATATTATATTGGAGTCATTAATATACTGTATGTATCTTAATAAAAGTAATCAATAACTGACTACTGAACCAGAAAATTCTCTGGTGTCAACAATGTATTAAAAAATTAAAAAAGGTTGAAGGCACAAATTTTATTACTATTGTGTTTACCTGGATATTTAAAGTAAAATATTTTATTATATAAGGTAGTGGTACCTATTTCTAGAAACTTTTTTTTTGCTATATATAAATTTTTAAAAAATTTAATATTTTTTTATAAAATTTTATATATAAAATTTACAATATATATATATAAGGATGTGGTGACCTAGTGAAGTGGTAAGGTTGTCAACCTTCTAAGTGGTAGGTTGGGTGTTTAAATTCCATCAACAGTGAAAATTTGAATAATTATTTATATAATATTTGTATTATAACAATTGTTACTAATGATTGGATTAGGATATCTGTAATAGTAGTCATATTAGCATAACTAACAGGTCATGAAACATTTGTATAACTAGATATACAAAGAAATGCAAACCAACAAATCAGGTAATGTAAACATTAGATAAGTTCTTGTAATTATATAAATTTGTTAAAATTGGATAACAAGAAGTTTATTTAAGAAGACTTAAGTAAAAAGGTAATCAGATCTTCAATAATCTTACTGTAAAGGTTAATTTAAGAAAACAAATACCAAGATCATAATACTTAGTTGTAGTAGTCAGATAGGTAAAAACCTTTTGATTAGGAGTTTCAGAAGTATTACTAATCAGATTGCTAAAATGAATTGAAGAAAAAGGATATCAAATTAATCTGATATAATAATAGACTAATCATAATTTTACAAGAATTATTTGAATTAGAAGTCTGATAAAAAGACAGATGAAAAAATAGGATATACTAAAGTACTGAGTTTATATTATGAAGTAAATGTAAGAATCTGTGTAAACTCTACAAGAGTATAGTAGTTAAATGATATAATTCTGACTACAAGTATTGGTTCTACTATAGTGATATCTAGATCAGTTATAAAAATAGGTACAGAAGACTATAGAGAGTTTATTTTGAAAATAAAATAATCTTAAGATTAAGACAATGATCTAGGCATCTGAGTATAATTCAGTGATATTAACACAGATTATAAGTTTAAAAGATTTAAATTAAAATATCTAAATAGAAATATTAGATATAACAATTAGTAAAAAACCTTTAAGCAGATTTTTTAAATAGGTAATATAGAAATATTATATATATAGTTAATTGTACACTCTTTTGTAGTGATTTATAAATTATATTATCAAAAAAATCATTAATAAAAAGTTAAAAAACTAAAAAAATTATCTTAATATCAAAATATATATATATTTATATATATTTATAATGTTAAATTATAATTTATATTTTATTAGCTTTTGGTATTACTATTATATATAGTTATATACATATAGTTATATACATTTGTATTACTATTTCTAGACATCCAATATGATATTATATCTATATTTACTTATATATTTTGTAGTCTTTACTATCATCATTACTAAATTAATAATATAGTTGTAATTATTTTGTTATATCTTAATTTTCTATTATTTTTAGCCTAATAGCAACCTATTTGTTTACTATTTATAATAATTCTTCTTTCTCTCAAATTAGTTAACTTTGACAGTTTCTTATTCTTATTATTATTAATTTAGTATACACAGTCTTATATACCTTTTTAATATCTAATTAAACATAGTTTGATTTATTAAAATCTAAATTATCAATTTGCAATTTACTATATATCTTTTTTTAGTTGTATTTTTATAATTAGTTTGGTTTGTAACTTGATTATATATGTTTTTTACAGGTTTTTTTATAGGTATACTATTAATTATATATATATATATATATATATTTGCTTTTGCTAAAGCTATAGTTATCAACAATTATTATCTTTATTATATTTTAATTATAATTAAATAATTTGTACAAGATAAATATACAACTAGCTATATATACAAGTTTTGGTTGTCTATTTTAAATAATCTGCCTACATAGCAGATTCTATACTAGTTATTATATTTGCAATCTACTAAGAGATTATCTATTTAAACACTTTGATCTTTATACTTATACTAACAAATAATATACAAGTTCTCATACATCTAAGTGCTGTCTAATTTAACTTTGACTTTTTTTTCTATACATCTGTTAAGCCATTATACATTTTAGAATATATTACCTAATTGTAAAGCTTTAGAAGACCCTCTTGCTAACTAATTATATATATTTAATCTTTTTGTTAACAGGGCTCATCCTTGCAAAGTTTATCCAAACCTTAGTACTAACTTTACAGCATATTTCTAGTACTATAATATACTCTTGCTTCCAATCTCAAACTTCCAATCTGGCTTTGAAGTTACATTAAACCAAAAAAATAAAGATAGTAAAGAATATTTTATTGCTTATATTAGTAAAAGTTTGTTATCCCAAAAGCAAAATTATTTTGCTATAAAATTAAAATATACTGCAATAGTATAAACTATTGAACATTTTCATAGTTTTTTAAAAGCTACAGAATTTACCTTATAACTAATCATTTAGCATTAAAATAGCTTAAAACTATAGAATCCAAAAGATATATCAAATACTAGATTTTGAAACTTCAACCTTATCACTTTATAATTATTTATAAACTAGATAGAATTTACTCTAATGTGAATACTTTCTTAAGACTTTAACATAAAAATTTTTAAATAATAAACTTAGATCAATATTATAATCTATTTAATTATTTAAATTCTAATACTATATCTTCAAACTTTACTAGTTATTAACAAAAACAACTTACTAATTAGAATAAATATTTTATGATCAAAATAAACTTTTGTATAAAAAGAACAAAAAATCCATAGATACTATTTTTTTTTTTTTTTTTTTTTTGAACTTTGGCGACAATGCCAGTTGGTTTTTTATTAGCCTTAATTTGATATAATACAAATTTATGATTACATTTTAGGATCGACTATTACTAGTACTATATACTATCTAATTTAACACTACTGACTTCACCTAATTACCCTTATGGCACCTAAGTGCATGTCTGCTGCATGCCTGCACACAGTTACCTTAGCAACCACTTGTAGTCATGGCACGCATTAAACCGCTATATAGACAAAGATACTTACTGAACTTAATATAGCATCCCAAATGCCAGGAGTACTGTCTTCTATAAATCATACCCATATGTCCCACTCACATGTTTTACCTGGTCTTGTTTCTTCTGCCTCCTAATCTAACTATATCTAGTATTACCTTGTTCACCACATTTCCCACTTTTTCATCACTGTATCACTCCCAAATTAGTCCTACTTGAGTATGTCTGATCCTTATGCTCTTTTCATCTTTGGTTTGCCTGTTATTGATTCCTCTAAGGTGTTCCGACAATGGTCCAGGATCTACAATAAACCTGTATCTTAAGCCAGATTTGCTGTCGCTATTGGTCTTTTGACCAATCCGTATCTCAAGCCAAACCTGTTGCTGCTATTTCTGTAGATGCCCTAGGTTTTAACATCATACAGTAACTCGATACTGCATTTAACCTCCAACATAGTGCTTCCTTTTATGATAGAGACTGGGACTTACTGCACTTACAAACAGAACAATTCTGGTTATATCTAAGGAGTTCTTTCAACCCTAGTGATACTATACTATTATGTATTGCAAGCTCCCAGCTTATTCAACAATACCTGCAGGACAATTCTAGTTATGCCCAGGGAGTTACACTGACTCCAGTGATGCTATAATATCTTGCAAATCTTATCTCATATTGGTTAGTTGATCCCTAGTCTTGTTTGTCATAGACTTTTATATAGGTACAACCAGAACCTGATTTGGTACTTTTACATTGCACAAGAAGGTTATACACCTACCTTCAAGATCTTCTCTTCTATAATTAGATTATTCGGCTGTGCCAGAGATGCTTTCAATTTTGGTTAAACCAATCCTTTATCACAGTCTGTCCTCGTGTTCACCTCTTCTCTTACCATTCTAGTCTTGGTTACTTGTCAGACTATTTTCCCAATTAAATCCTCTTCTTGGATCCCAATTAAGACTTATTTGCACAATCCGTTAATTATCCTTCCAAGCAAGTATCCCACAAGTTGGGTGCAGGGATGTTGGTACTGCCTATATTGGGAGGTATAAGGATGTTGGTGTTGCCCTAGCCTAAAGGACTTACATGTGCAATCTTTCC